ATTAGCGATTTTTAAATTTGTAATTTTTTTGGATATTTCNTAGAAAATTTGCGATTTTTAAATTTGTAATTTTTTTGCATATTTCCCCCATTTGCGGGGAACGAGGGAATATTTTTTCAATTTTAAGGATAATGTCTCCAACTAGATACAATTTGTGATCTTTTGACGTATTTTTGAAAGAAATCGGCCCAGTGAGAGCTGAGAGAAAGTGGCAACAGACATAAAAAAAAAAATACATCATAGTAAATTTAATACCTTCGAAGCTAATAGACGTTACAATAAAATCATAAAAATAAATCGTTCAAGCGCCACAATCATTTAAGACACTAAATTTGCTTTCTTGATTTAAATTAAAGTAATTTTTTTATATTTTACGTTATTAAAAAAAAGTAAACTTATTAGAAACGGCGTACTTAGGCAAAATAACTGTCATGGTCATTTATGATCTGACATTTTATTTGTAGTTCTATTTTATTTCTATATGTTAAGTGTTCTAATTTATCGTAATTTTAAGTTTTAAAATTCAATAATTCAAATAATTTTGTAAAAATTATTGCAAAATTAATTTATGGCTAATTGAAAACAACTAAATAGTTTGTTAAAAAGAAACTTCAAATGTAGAATACAAATAAAAATAATAATAAATACTTGCATTTGAATTTTATAGAAGTTTTAAAAAAAATTGTAAATATTTCATTTAAATATGTAAAGAGAAATTGATGAGTCGAAATGTTTTTATATTATTTCATTAGGAAAGAGGGTATTGGTTGTAGACGTTAACTATTGGATCAATGGTACTCATTGAGGACAAACGTTGCAGACTTGTAATTCAAAATAACACATTTTGATAAACAATTGTTTTAATTGTTGGCCAATTAAAAAATGTTTAGTTTTATTAATTGGCTTAAATAATATGTAAACGAGGCAAATTTTTTTTGTATAAATAGGATAAAAATTCTGTTTAAATCGACACCGTTTGGTGATTTTTGCTTAAGTTATTTTTTGTGATAAATGAGTACGTATATACTTTAAACACTTTAACTGTTACATTTTTCTCTAAGTATAAATAAAAATTTTTAATTTTTTTGTATATATATTTATAAAAAAATATGGAATCGCATTTGTTTTTCGTGATAACGATGTTAGTAATATATTTTATAATTCCATTTCAAGTAATCAGAGATATTATGTTTATTGCATTGGCAGTTGTGTCGCTGCAGACTTTTTTAGAGATGAAACTTTTTAAGAAGAAAATCACTTCAACTAAACCAGTAGAACGTATTATGAATTATCGCTGTCCAGTTTTGACTACATATTCTATTAATTTGGAAACGCCTATTTTGACAAAAAATTCAATTTTAGAAGAACCGCTCATAGAAGATACATTTACGGGAACTCCGATAATTGAAACCGAAAAAGAGCCCTCAAATACTAATACGAACATTTCATTAATGAATAATGAAATTGAACCTGTCAAAAAACTAAACCCAGAAATTGTTACGAAAACAGAAATTGAAAAAATGACCACTAAAACTCCCACAGAGACTTCTGTAAAAGCTGTTAAGTGTTATAACTCAGACTTAATACAGTCCAAAAACAATAATTCAACACAACCATTTGAAATAGTGCCAGGAAATATAATTACTACAAATCAAGAAAACCGCACCTTAATAGAAAATTCACTCAAATTTAATAGAATACAGTCTAAAAATTTAACAGAAAATATTATAACATCTAACACTAACAGTTCGTTGCTAAGTAAAAAAACTGAACTTTTTACTCCAAAAGACCTGGAAAAGACTAAAGTGAATGGAAATTTACAACGTGAAAATAATAACAACAAAAATTCCGCAACTAGAACTCGGCCTAATGACATTAAAAAACATTTATGGGATAAGAGGTACTTATTGTTTTCAAAATTCGACGAAGGAATCATGATGGACAATGGTAATAAAATTATTATTTCAACAAACTTAAGTGTTTTACTTTATTTGACGTTTTTTTTTTTTTAGAATCATTTTATTCAGTATGTCCCGAAATCTTGAGTACACACATAGCGTTAAGATGTCCAGGCCTACACGTCGCTATGGATCCGTTTTGTGGTGCTGGTGGTAACGTCATCCAATTGGCCAAAAGATACAAACAAGTAATCGCTGTGGATAACGATGCTAATAAATTGGAATTCGCGAAAAGAAATGCTGAGATTTACGGAGTCAGAGAGAAGATTACATTTATACTGGGAGATTTCTTTGAAATCGCAGAATCCTTAAAAAAATATAAGCCACAGGTCATAGTGACTTCTCCTCCATGGGGCGGCCCTTCGTATAAGAAACATAAAGTTTACAGTCTTGAAAAGCATATGTGTAGCAATTACGAAGGAGGCGGTAAAAAACTCTTCGACCTGTTGAGAAGTATTGCTCCCAATGTAGCACTTCACATACCTAAAACTACAGGTCGAAACGAGGTAAATGAATCAAATTTCTATAAGTAAATCACAATTGTAGTTAATGTCGATCAATTAATTTTCTAGTTGATACAATTTGGCAAACTATTCGATCTAAACATGGAAATTCAGCATAATTATATTGACAATAGACACGATTCCATCACTGCGTTTTTCGGCCGCTTTTTCAATATGAACACTAAATACTTATCCAACGACAATAAACTTTACACTAATAAAAAATTCTTGAAGTATCCAGAATCAGATGATTACTATTAATGTTAAATATTAATTCACTATTTTTCGATTAAGTACTGCTTTATTTTTATTTTTTCTAATTATTGACATTATACTGATAAAAGACAAATTTCGGTATATTCTAATTTTCACGTTAAACATACTACCGATTTTCGACTAAATATAAATACCTTATAATTCTTAAATTTTTGCCGCAGCATGCAAGCAGATGACATATTTTACTGAAAAGTAAATTTAAATCATTGTGTTCTCATTATAAAACATAATTTTTTTATGCGCTTAATTTGTATAACTTGAATTCAATTTTTTAATGATTTTAGTTTTATGTTTAATATTTTTACTGTATATACTATATTAAATTTCTCTGGAATTTATTTTGTTGATTAGAAATAAGTAAATATACTTTATTTCTTAAAATTGTTTAACTCAAAATATTTGTTATATTGTATTCTATAATAAATAATTATTATAAAAAATCAAATTATTCTAATTATTTTTCAACAAATCAATTTGAAAATATTTTATTGATTTATTATTAAATTAATGTTTAAAAAGTTGATTTATGTTGTTTAAAAATTATTAGAACATTTTTTAGTGCTTATAGTGGTTGTTGAATAAATTAATGATAATTGATACAAATTAAATAAAATTATTTTCTAGAAATAACAATTATCTTATTGTTTTGATACTTTTCATGTCAAACTTAATGCCAATCTTAATGTTTTTAAAATATACATCCGTTGTTTTTTAAGTTTTTTTGTGATGTTGGATTTGATTAATATATTTAACTATTTATTTAGTAAAAAATTTAGACGCTAGTAGTCAATAAAAAATTTTTAAATATTAATTATTTAAACCACATAAGGATAAATAAAAATAGAACACTAAGAATCGTATCTTTTCTAATATATTAGATTGAAAATTCTGAAACCCATAAAAATTCTTTATTTAATTACAGCATCACAAGACCAAACTTTCTTAGTTTCGCTTTAAAATAAAAAATGAACAATGTAAGAAATGTTGAAAAATTTACTCAATTGAACGTGTTATAAATATTGATTATAATTGTAAAAATCAATTGTTAAATTCACGTGAAATCCAAAATAATTTTTTTTTTTAGACATGATTTATTAAATAACATATTACCAACATATTTTGAATATTATAAAATAGTAGGAGAATACTCAATTAGAGTTAAAAAATAAATAAATATTAAAGAAGAGTTATACGAATTCTTAATTGTGTCGGCGAACATAGAGGCAGGTAGTTCGGACCGGTTGACCAACTGCCTAACTTGGAGTCAGTGAGACTGGGTGCTACCTGCCGGGTTGAGAGAAAATGAGGGTCGTCTGTAGTTTCAACGACCGTTAGTTTGCAAGAACCAAGTCAAGGTAGAAAGACGTGGCAGTTATTCCCTTTCTATATTTCTTATTATTTTTGTAAGTTATTTTTTTTTAGAATAAAACATGTCAGTTTGGGTTTAATTATGCACCGTTAGTAAGCTTATTTATTTTTTTGTTGCATAGAATAAATTTGTCTACTAAATACAAATAACATAATATTATTGATTGAGGGCCAATACACCTAACATTTAGAGCAATTCTAAATACAAACTAACAGCATTAGTCCACTTGCGCTCAACTGCTTTAGGCACGATTCACGTAACCGGAAAGTGATTAAATAATGGCGGCGTCGTTCTGCGAAGTGCTGTAACTATGTGTTATACCTTATTTCTGTCTTCTAGTCATCGGTGTCTGGGCACTGCGGTGGTCGACACAAGTCTAGAGTACTCGTGCAAGGCGGTACTCTACTGTTGTGTGCCGTCGTTACTTTAATTATTTTGAGTATTTTTCGATTGCGTTAAATACATTTATAACTTATAGCCTAATTATTCAAATAGGTATAAGCAAAGAAATATGCATAAGATGTTTTATTTATTTAAAATAAAATATTAATAACATTTTACAAAATTATATACAATATACCATCAAACCCAGCTTGTGTAAGTTTAATGAAGTCAGGTTTTTGAGCATAATGAGATATTAAAAAGAAAAAAAATATTTGATATTAGTTTCGTTTCATTAGTTTTTTATCAACGATTTGTTGTTGTTTTGATTTCTTCTATGAGCTGCTCCCTTGTGTTAACTCTTATCGCTTTTATAATTTTCAATTCTGTCCTTCATTTTATTGTTTTTGTTCTATCTGTGTAGTGTAACGCTTAGGTACTCCGTGCGTGTATTTTCAGTTATCGATTAAAGTAATATACAAGTTTGCTATTTAATTATATTTTGTACATACAATGGATAAAAAGACGAGTGCAGTATGGAAACATTTTTCGGTCATAAGTGATGAAAAAGCCAAGTGTTCATACTGCACTAATACTTTTTCTTATAAGGGAGGTTCAACAGCCAATCTTCTAAAACATTTAAAAAGAAAACATATTGTTCAACTTGAAGCTAGAAAAAGAAAACGCGTTGATTTCGATCAAAATGTAGATGAACCAGATGATATATCTACAAAACAACAACAGGTAATTAGTTCGGACCAACCATCAACGTCGTCTAATATATATATATATATATATAATATATCAAAGAATTGTCCTACACATACAAGTGTATATTCTTTTATTAATCGACCACTTTCTCTGTCTAAACAAAAACTTATAGACAAGCAATTTGGGATAATGGCTGCAAAAGAATTTGAACTATTAAGCCTCGTAGAAAATATTGAATTTCAAAGATTAATTAATTTATTGAACCCTAGCTATAAATTACCTTCACGAAAAACTTTATCTAAATCAATTTTGCCACAATTATACTCAAAAACTAAAGAAAAAGTTAAAACGAATTTAATTAATTCGCATTGTATTGCATTTACAACTAATGGGTGGACATCCCTTAATAATGACAGTTTTGTTGCATTAACTATTCATTATATTGACAAAAATGAATGCACCTTAAAGTCTTTTTTACTAAGATGTTGTTATTTTGAAAAATCGCATATGGCAAATAATTTATCAATTTTTTTAAATAATTGTTTTAAAGAATGGGAAATGACCGAAAAAGTTAAAATTACAGTAGGTGACAACGCCGCTAATATTACAGCTGCCATAAATATGAATAAAAATTGGTGTCATATACCTTGCTTAGCTCATAGTATTAATACTATTGCTCAAAGCGGATTAGATGCAATACAAATTGTCCATAAAATATTTAAACGCATAGCTGAACATTTTAATCGTAGTTCTCAGACTTTCAGTAAATTAAAAAATATGCAAAAACAAATGGGTTATACGGATTTAAAACTCATTCAAGACAAAACTACGAGGTGAAATTTNCTTGCTTAGCTCATAGTATTAATACTATTGCTCAAAGCGGATTAGATGCAATACAAATTGTCCATAAAATATTTAAACGCATAACTGAACATTTTAATCGTAGTTCTCAGACTTTCAGTAAATTAAAAAATATGCAAAAACAAATGGGTTATACGGATTTAAAACTCATTCAAGACAAAACTACGAGGTGGAATTCTACGTACGATATGTTTGAGAGATGTATTCGAATGAAAGAATCAATAATATCTACAGTAGCAATTTTAGATAATATTGAGAATATATCTTATGAAGACTGTGATAAAAAATAAAGGTTTTGTTAATCATTTTACATATCAACGTACTTATGACAAGATTGTACAACGAGTAGCTGGATTTATTTTGTCAAAGCAACAGAAAGAAATACATCAAACAGAACAACAGGGACACGCGAACGATAATAGTCAAAGTGAAACTGAAGCCGTAGACATATGGAAACAGTTTGGCTCTCAGGTGTAACAACAAAAAAGTTTATTTATTTATTATGTTATTTAATCAAAAATTTTAATTTTTTAAGGTGGTAACTTTATCAAAAAAAACTCCTACTAGTGAAGCGATTATTGAGTTAGACAGATATTTGTATGAGCCTATTATAGAAAGAAAGTCGCATCCTTTATTATGGTGGAATGAGAGGAAAATGATGTTTCCTAACTTATTTAATCTTGTATTGTTGAGATTATGTGTTCCTTCAACATCTGTCCCGTGCGAACAGACATTTTCTAAAGCGGGATACACAATAACTGAAAGGCGTAATAAACTTACAGTTAAAAATTCAGAAATGTAACTGTTTTTAAATAGTAATTTTTGATTAAGAATTTTAAAAGACGTTTTTTATATAGTTAAATAATTTAATGAAATTATATTATAAAT